TCACACTAAATGCCACCCTCTCCAAAAAAAGCCCCCAGCCGATCCGTGCATATGTCCCCCCCCCCCCCCCCCCCCCCCGTCGTTGCTCATTCTCTGTGAGACTTTCGAGGTGGGAGGCCGGATGTTTGTCGGGGGTGTTGTGGTGAGACCCCACATGTGGAATAATCCGCTGAGACCTTTTTTTGGAGAGGGTGGCATTTAGTGTGAGCATGCCAGCGAGGGAGAGATTCTGTCTGAGCCTGTAGTTGTGAATAGTTCTTGATAGTCAGTGTGACTCTGCAGATTAATCCTCTGGGTTTTAGTTGACTTCTAAAAGTAGTAGGTGGACCGATATCCTTTCTTTGTTCACAGTGTTTTGCTTTCTGTCAAGTGTCTCAGATTATGTCTAATTCAGGTAAAACAAGGTGAAGTTTAAGTCACAATATCCAGGTGCTTCCAGGTAGAACCACTCTCCATTTTAAAGAGGCCTAACCCTGATTTCTGGATAGATGCTCCCTTAGGATAGAAGAACTATTTTCATTAGATTCCATGCTGATGCATATTTTATTCCAGTAATTACAGATAGACGGCAGACTTCTCATTAAATTATTCATTTTGAGTTTCTCTGAAGAGTCTTGGACCAGCCAGTGTGTAGAATTGGTTTGTGTGTGCTGCTCATATTTGTCCTGTAAACACAATTATACCCCCACATTCCAGGAGTGCCTTTTTTGGAAACAGAGGAAGGGGTGAAACAGACCAAGGTGGAGCAGTGGAGATGCAGAGAGTGTTTAAATTACATTTTTTTAACAGTTTATTTATTAGTAAAGTGATTTTCTTTTCATTTGCCACGACACACAAACGGTTTGCTGTTGCTGAGGTGAATGACTGTAGCAGTAACTCCTCACTGTGTACGTGTTTGTTTGCATTGTGTACGTCTGATGTCATGAGAACTAAAACCCTCAGATACAGATAATTCAATGTCCTTGTTCCACTCCTTTTATAGTGCGTGTGTGTGTGTGTGTGTGTGTGTGTTTGCGTGTCCTGGTAGTAATCTTCCCTTTCAGCAGTTTGTTTACGACCAGCGTGATTCATGCGTCTATAAAGATGCTCTGTTACTCTCGCAGGACGAAGTCCATCTCCTCGGCCACAGTTTGATCGCTGTTCTGCTTTCAGCTTACAGCAGGAGAACGGGCATTAAAATGTTTTCTGTGTTCATTACAAAAGAAAATGCTGATTCTGGTTCGTTCTTATGGTGACAACCCACATCCGTGACGTTAGTTTGTCCTCCAGAGCCTCGGGGAGTGAGGCTTTTTTTTTTTAGCCAGCTAGCTTGCTAATTCCACCATGCTGTAATGCTACACTGGTTACAGAGGATGAGCCGAACAGAGTTGTCATCTGACGATAGTTTTGTGACAACAGTGTGAGCATGAAGCATTACGTTGTTAAAGTTTACTCATTTACTCTGGCTCTCTACTCTCTCTACTCCACTGCTCGTTTTAGTCGTGACTGCAAAACCTCAGTGAAACCAGGACTTGCTGTAAGTCGGTTAAGTTAATACAGAAGTTAGCCCGCTGCTACGGTCACAATGGCAACACGTATTAAATGGCCGTCATTCAGACCATCCAGCTACTTTGATTTGTTTCTATGCAGGGGTCTTATAAGCTTTCACAATTCCACTGTTTTGTGGCAATTTTCTTTTATTTGTATGTTTCTGTAAGTTTCCTGGTTGACAGTCATTCACCATTTCATTTTGTGTTGATTTTGGCGGTCCCTGTGGACAAAAGCGGTAGTGCTTCCGAGCACCAGAGTCCCTATAGAAAACTTCTCATTTCACTGCAGCAGGGTCTGACAGTCTGCTCCTCTCGGTCCTGGTTCTGGTTCTCCCGTGCCTCCCTTCCCTCCAGCGGGCCCAGTAATACGGCCTGGTGTCGGTGTCGGCTTCCAGCAGGCAAAGCTCTGCTCCTGGAGGAGGAGACGCTGCTGCCAGGCGCTGAGCTCTGCTCTCCCCCGCCAGATAAAAGAAAACCCCCAAAAGTTTCTACAGTTACGACAAGATGAAACTGAGAAAGAAGCTGGAGGTAAACAGTTGATCGATTATCAACGTGATCACTGATTATTAATGTTCGGCTTGTGGTCGATGTTTGAAACTCTGTTGTTGCATTCCAGGATAATTATGTCACAACATATTTGTGAGCAACTCTTCCTGTTGTGGACAAGAGCTGGAAAAATGTCAGTCCTTTTGAGAATAAGAAATATTCCTGGACCTAAAAGGAGTGTGTGTGTGTGTGTGTGTCTGTGTAAAACCTCACAATATCAACAATTGTGGTGCTTTAGATTACTGTACGTTGACACTGACTCACACTGTTACATCTAACTTAAGAAATAAGTGTGCGTGTGTGTGTGACTCAGCATACATGACCTCGTTGTACAAATTGTTCAGTTTGACACCAACCATTAACTGAAGTTAGCGGTACATTTTGTGACCAACACATGGTCACCAACCACTAAACACTGAGGCCTCTGGCTCTCACACACACAACCACACTGTCTAGAGGTGTGTGTGGTTTCAGGCGGGCCACCTACTGGTTTGTTATAAGTTATTAACAGACCTGTTAATATCTCCTCAGACCTCTGCAGGAACCTGTCGCACACGCACACGCGCAGTATGGCTTCATATCTCCTAGTTCTGCCTCTGAACTGTATTTTTCAGTCACTTTTAACACACAGGGCGGCCCGGTTCCAATACTCGGTGTCTGTTAGAAGCCCAGTTTCTTTCCTGGTCAGTGCTTCCTTGTGTAGAAACATGTCGTGTGCCTTTCAATATTTTTACAAACTTCACTCTTATTAACTGTCTTCAACGCCCGACTTCAAAACTGTGACTTACTGTACTTTCAAGATCCTGTTTTAATACATACAGATATTTCCCACTGTTCATGGGGCATAATGTTATCCTGACAATGGCAAATACTGTAGAAAATAAGACTACATTTGTTATAAACTTGACTTTTACGTAGTGTAGGTCCTATTTCAGTATTTTCAACCGTCATTCCTCCTCCGACATTTCACTTTTCTGACATCCAGGCCTCATTTCAACACTTAGAACCCTCCTGTAATACGTTCACTGGTTCCCATCAGGCCTCAACATGACTTCATGACATCGGTGAAATAGAAAAACTCCTCCGTCGAGTATGACGTTGGATAAGAGTGTTTGACATGAGAGACCTCAGCACCCTGATGTGTGTCGGTTTGACTGTTTGAGACTTCAGATCACGCTCACGTTGTTTTACGAGTCATAACGCTACTTGAACTTTGGCCAAGACCCACCAGGTCTCACATGCACATGTTTCAGCAAAAACACACAACCAGAGTCTCACACTCCTGTTGAACTTTAAGCTGAATTTGATTCTTGGGTTTAGGTCAATAAAGGTTGCTTCCTCGTGTCAATCTGTTGTCTGTAGTATTCGGTGAAAGGCGTGAAGATCATTGTATGACACTAAAGTCCTTTCTGTGTCTTCTTGTCCTGCTCCACTTCATCAAATGTAAAATATTCGAGATACCTTGTGCTTCATTCTATAAACATGTCAGCCAAAAGTCACACTGACATATTTAGTGATCTTTACTAGAATTTGGAATAAAGTTCTATGGATTTGAAGAAAATTACGTTTGTTGACGTGACCGTCCTACTGGAGGTTTCAAGCTGAAAAACTTGATTTAAAATCCAGTATTTACAACAAAATATTCATTACTGAATAAGCAACAATCAAAGGTAATGTTAAGGAGAAAACAAACATCCTTTATTAACATCTGCCTCGTCATGACCGTGTGTGGGAGCAAAATGAGTCTCACAACTGTCGTGTTTTTTTTATAATATTGCTCAACTCTGATTCGTGTTGGACCCCATCGCTGACTTTTAAGGAATCAAAATCAAGAATCTGTTCATAATGAACACAAATGAAGTGCTTCTGCAGCTCGTTACCTCCTCGAGGCTGCAGCTTTAATTCAAGAAGTAGGTTTTAATTGTTCGATGTTGTCGACTGAGACTTCAAAAGGCCGTGAATTCAAATTCTGACACAAAGATGCTAAAAGCCTGTGACCAGGGTTGCTTCTCTGGCCCTTGTTTTTTTTGGTTGGTGCAGTATATTTTTCCAAGTGCTGGCTAGCTGCTCTGTCAGTTTGTCTGGGAAAACGGGTTCTACACCTCTAACTGCTGTCCTCCGCCTCCCCCCTGTTTCTATTCTCTCTCTCTCTCCTCCCTCCCCCGTGCCTCCCTTGTAAATTCAACACCAGCAGTCGTCGACCTTCTGGCTGCTCGTGAGGCGTGCACGAGTGTAGCTTTTTTTGATTGTGTGCACGCGTTGCAGGTTAAATATTTGACCCACAGCCGACGCTCTCATACACACACACAGGGTCGACCATATGTTGAGAGGTGATTAGCATCTTTCCAAATCTGCAGAAAGCTGGCGACGAGGAGGTGTAACTTTTGCATTAAGTGTTGAGAGAAGAAGTCACTCTATGAACCGTACACACTTGGAGTAGTCGCAGACATTCCTGCAGACACTGCTGCTTGTTGATTTAATTCATTACTTTATTTAGTTCCCGTCTGCCTTTCCATTAAAGCAGAAAAGCCAGAAGAGGTTTGCTGTGAATGCCTTCTCCTGTTTCAGCTGCAGGTTGTCCTTGAGCAAGGCATTTGACCTGTGGTTACTCAGCGGCCTGTGGCTGCTGTGAGCAGGTGTTAATGTGTGTAACTGGATGAATTTGGACCGCTGCGTTGCAGCAAAGACATTCATGCTCAGGGAGTTTACCTTTTTACAAATAGAGATAGGAAATGAGTATCTCTGCACACGTTGACGGTAGGATTGTGGATAAAGAGCCAGAGTGTGTAGACTAAGAACAAGCCCTGAAGGTTTGACAATGCACATTTTTTTTAACCTGGACACGCATGACTGGACACCACACACACACACACACACACACACACACACACACACACACACACACACCAACCTCCAAAACATCTGAAGCCTCTCACGCGCGTCTCATTTTAGGGGCAGTGCTACATGATTATCAGTCATTTATTCGGCAGCGACATCAAACATTTATTGGTTCCAGCTTCACCATGAATTTGATTATTTGTCACGTTGAGCAGGATGAAGCGGTGAAACGGTCGACTTGTGCTTTTTAAACCTGCAGTCGTCGGCGCGGCTGTAGATCGGAGTGACGTTCTGATCGCTGTCGGCGTCGGCTGTGAAGCGCTCGCTGGAGATGTTGTGAGCTTAATTCAGCACAGCGTCTGTGATGGGAGCAGCCTACTTTGTAACTTCAGTGACAGATACACCCCCCCGCCTCCCCCCTTCTCTCCCCCGCCTCCCCTGTAATATCCAAGCCTGGTTTCTAAACTGGCACGCACCCTAAAATAGCACGAGGGGATGCTTGTATCAGATCGTTTATGTTTGGAAATCTCTCGGCCCTACCGGTTCATTCCACGAGGTCTTAAACAGAAACGTACACAGAACTTAAAGGTGCCTCGTGTGAACAAATACAACCTTGTGTGCCTCATAAATTCTTCATTTCTACCTTTTAACTTCACTGGAAACCCTTTAAATGTAGACATCATCACGCATGTGTTCTGTGTCTGCTTGTTGTTGTTTTCTTTGACGATATATGAATGAAAAATTGACCTAAATTGTGATTTTATGGCTGCACTGGACACATTCTGCATTATTTTAACGTCACGTCCCTGCAGTCCATCCTGACATATTTGCATATATTTAGAAACCTTAAAATCCTGAATTTAAAAGTACAAGGATCAAGCTTTGTAAAAAGATCTTCAGCTGACTTTCCTAAAACAGGGAGCTCCGTGCACCGTCTTGTTTGTCCTTTTCTCTTCCGGTCTCTCTTTTATTTCACCACCTGTTCTGCTGTCATCAGCCCAGTCCCTGTGTGTTAGTGTAGGGGGGGGATGGAGAGACGGAGGGAAGGAGGGACGACCGCGTGGATTAACTGTGCCGTGTTGTTGCTGCAGTTCACACATTCCAGCAGGCCGATTCAGGCCGACTCGCTGTACTAACACAGAGGCCTCCTTCACCCCCTTCCTGTCCTCTCACCTCCCTCTCTGACTCTCTAACTTCTCCATCCCTCTGCTCTTTGATTTGACAAAGAACCTCTGGTAGCTCCGCCTCCTCTCCTCATCTGCATCACGTCATCCCTCCGTCACATCTCTTCTTTTTTTAAATGTGGGACTCCCGAGTATCTGATACTGTCTCATCGAGGCCAAAGTCAACATGCTTCCTCCCACAAACGACGGCGAGCCTCTCCAGCACACAATCACTAATAAATACTGTAAGCCTCCCTGTTTTGACCTGTGAGTGTACCGCCCTCTAGAGGCCAAACTGTGTCGTGTCATACCAGCTGAAAATCATCAGGGTCACAAGGCAATATCAAGTCTCAAATGTCGGGATTTGATGCTCAGGAACAGAATATTTTGGGGTTTTGAGCTGTTGGTCTGAAGAAATAAGACATTTGAACATGTCTCCTTGGAGTCTAAGAAAGAACATCAGGCGTTTTTCATATATTCTGATTGATGAAAATCATTTGTTGCAGCTCTGCTTCTGTTGTGATTGGTGTGAGGATATGTTGTGATTACGTAACACTTTCTGGACCCTTAAGGAGCTGATCAAATAATGGAATTTTTTGGTGTCACATGAAGTTTCAGTGGCCTTTTGTATTCAGAGAGAGGTTCAGAAGAAACGCTGACATTTTCATTTTGGTGTCCGTCGTTGTGTTTGTTCTCAGGGACGAGTGGAGGTCGAGGCCGGCAACGAGAACATGAAGTTTGAGACCGGACCGTTCTCCTTCTATGGTGTCATGGCCATCAGCGTTCCCACACTGGGTGAGTCCTAAACCCTCCTCTCCTCTCCTATCTCTCCTCGTCTCTCTTCTCTTCTCCTCTTTTCTTTTCTCCCTTCCTCTCCTCTCCTCTCCTCATCCCTCCTCTCTTCTCTTCTCTGTGGATTTGCACTATTAATTAACCTACAAAGGTTAAATGAGTATTTTCAGTGTAATGTCTGTGGTTTAAATACCTCTACTGCCACCTAGTGGATTAATGTTAGAGTACAATGCTGCTGTCCTGAATGTTCACTTCGTTAAATTACAAAGACTTAAACATTTGTAGGAACCAGATTTATTTCTTATTTTAGGAATATTTGTAATCTTGTTTATTCTGGGGAATGAATAATGGATAATAAAAGAACATATTATAGTATATCCCTGCAAAACATTATGTTCTTCATCTACTGTTATGAAATGTGGATATTAATGTTATTTCACCCCGTCCACAGTTGATTACATTATTCCTTCCACCAGCGGCTGCAGCATCGCGTCCTTCTTGCTTTCTCACCACATAGCATCTTAGGATATTTAGTAAGTGCGGTTGAGTTTCATCTATTAAAAACTAGAAAGAAAAACAATATACAGCTCCAAAAGATATCATCTGTCTGCAGGACAGTTTATTAAAGCGTTGCTGCTGTCACTCGTCAATGTGTCATGCAGACGGAGCAGCCGCAGATCAAACATTAACCTCAGTCGAGCGACCTCGCCGTCACCTCACATCACACGAAACAGTTTGTGTGGAGACTCCAGTGCTCCTCACAGACGAGTCTAACTAGTTCATTTTGTTCATTCATTTTATTTTATTGATTTATTTGACAGACGGTGCTCATTGATCAGCAGTCGGCCTCAGAGGCTGATTTAACAAAAGAGCCGTAGTTGTTTTTTAACTTTATCTTTATTTCGGACATCTTTCTTTGACACCATGTGATCAGCTTTCACCTAAACATGGAGCATCTGATCCACGAAGCTTAAAACACGCATAAGGGTTTATCTGTGATTACATCAGATTTAACTACAGACACAGACGCACACTTCACTCAACTAACTCAATATTCATAGAATTTAAAAAGTCGCATCAGGAGAGACTCTTACTGTATGATGTCAAAACCAGAGCTTTTCTACTTTAATTTAGGAAGAGAAGAAGAGTTCACTGAATGCTCATTCATGAGCATTCAAGTGCTTGAAATGGATTTTTCTTATTTATTTATTATATTTGATGACGTCTGAACTCATTCCCTCCTCTCATCTCTTTCTGTCTCTTTCACACACTTTCTTAAAATACAAGAAGTCAGTCTAATCTGTTTTTCCTCCGGTTTGTGTTTGTCAGCTTGTCTGTCTGCTTCTCTTTGAACAGTTGATTATATCCTGAGTATTGTGTCCTCATGACGCCCCGACAGACACACCAGCGTATGAAATATTTTGTCCATCTCGTGTCTTTCCTTTCTTTCTATTCTCATTTTCATCTCAACCCTCGACAGCTCGCTCTTTCAGGTGCTTCAGGTGAAGAGAGAGATCTGTGAAGCGTCATTTTATTATTTTCCAACCTTCCTTCCTTCCTTCCTTCCTTCCTTCCTTCCTTCCTTCCTCCCTCCCTTCCTTCCTTCCTTCTCACCAGCGTCCGCCTCATTCACCCATTTCATCAAACTCCTGATCGATCAAACCGTCCGATGGCCAGTGACCGGTGTAATCTGTGATCTTCCTGTTGGAGATTTTCTCCATGCATGTTTTCTGCACGTGAAGCAGATCTGTCCCTCTGTCTCCCACTGTCTCACTCAGTCTCCCCCCTTCATCCCCCCTCCCTCCTCCCTCTGTGCCATCGATCACCCCCTCCCTCCCTCCCTCCTTCCTTCTCTCCTCTCAGTGGCTGCACCTCGTCCTCGCCACCTCCCCTTTAAGAGGTTTTCTCTGTTTTCTCGGTTGCCAGGTAAACTCCGGCATGTCTGGGTCCTTTTAACACCAAGGACGGGCGGTGGGGGGGTAGAGTGGGTGGGCATGCCTGGCTCTTGATTCACCAGGCGTGGCTTCGAAATTTGTGTTGTCTTAGAAATGGGTCAACGGGGTGAATAAAGGCCGGATCACAGAGGGCGGAGGATCGCTCATGCGCTGCTCTTTATGGGTTGAATCAGTTACGTTTTGTTCTTCTTCATTCTCCCCGATCAGTGATAAAAGACCTGCTATGACGTCACCGGCTGTAGATGCAGCATGTTCAAAGGTAGATGCCGTGTAACAGCAGTCTTCTGCCCACTGTGATTCACTGTGCGTTCACCCTTCACACACAGCAAAGAGGTCCAAGACGACAGACGCTTTTAGTCAAATAAGCTCTTTGTTCAACCAAGTTTTATTTGCATGCATTATACAGAGCAGGTGAGCAGTGAGGAGTCCATTTATTTTTAGCAAACAGGTGTAGGTCAGCGTTCATGTTTCCGCTTGTCAGGAAGAGGTTTGTCTGCTCGGACTCAAGCAGAAAGTAGAGGGATGAGTTTTGGTTTCTACCTTTGGAAAAATCTATTTAATTTTATTAGTTAACTTTGTCCAGCAGCAGAGAGAACTCACAAAGTTTATTTTTGATCTGTAAAATATCACACTCGTGTACAAATTTGAGCTGCAAAGGTTCTAAAGGTGACACAAGAGTTTCAGTGACAAAGTCGATCAAAGAGCTCATCTGACAAATCGTCGGCACAGTTCGGGGACAGAAAATGATCACAACTCTGAGGCCCCGTCACGTGAGGGCTAATCGTAGCTGTGAAAGCTACTTTGAGTGTTACGTCAGGTTTTTAAGTTGTAGATCTGAATGAAGGAAAAGTTGCCGACTGTGATCTCAAGACTGACATATAATAAATAGTCGTGACGAAGTCGTAGAAGTGAAATCTAACCACTAACTAGAACATTAGCCGTAGACATCCACGGTTAACGAGCTAGCGTAATTCATTGAAAGCTAACCCAGTTGACGTGTCCAGGTAAAACCGTTTCCTATGACTCACTGAGGCCCCCTGCTGGAAGACTCGCATCCACCGGTAATAACACACAGCAGCGGGTAACGAGCATGCGTGTGTGTGTGTGTGTGTGTGTGTGTGTGTGTCAAGCATGTCAAAATAAAAAGCTAAACTGTGTGGATGACACACGATGAAGGTTAGTCACCGTGGTTTCAGTGCGTCGGAGCAGAGGTGGAAAATAACCAGCTAACTAAAGGAAGTCTTTTCAGTAATTAGGTGTTAACCGTTAATAACTTTAATAACTATGACTAAGAGTGGTGCAGTGAACGACTTCTGGAAGTGGAGACACCTGTTCCGATTTGACTGACATTTAAACTGTAATTAAGTTCAGTATTTTCTCTTTAAACGTATCCACAAACAATTAGAATTAATTTTCATATTTGGCTCTTATTGTTACGTTTTCAGTTGCTCGTCCATTGAATGAACCAGCAGCTGTTTGGATGAGTGGTTATTAGTTCGAGGCATGTTGATGCTGAAGTGTGCTGCTGCTGGCTTCTTAAACGAGAGCATATTCTGCTTGTTTTATATCGTTGAAAGTTGAGTCTCTCTGCGTTTTGGACTGTTGGTCTGACACCATGAGGGATTTGAATATGTCACCACGTTGGGCATTTCTTTGAGTTATTGTCAGCAGCATATGTTTGACATTTTACAAACCAAACGGAAATAATTGGAGGATTAATTGATAATGAAAAAGAAAGTCGCTCCGCAGCGCCTTGTTTACTACTGGGTTTGACCAACAGGACAAAAGTCTTTTATACTGTGTGTATATATATATATATATATATATATATATAAAATAAAAACAATAACAACAGTTCATTGTACTAGCTGTCAGATTCAGGTTTACTCTCATCTCTGTACACTTACTTATATGGTTTATAACACACGATAATGTAGCTGTAAGGAGATACAATGACACGTTAAAGTGAACTCTTTAACGGTAACGTCTCCCATTAAGACTTGTTTTGTGTTTATTTCATATAAGAAGGGACGATGCACATTAATTAACATGAGCCATCACACATGTTGAAGTTATTAAAGAAAACATACAAGAGCACACAAGCACAGACAAATAAGCACAAGGCCAGCCTCCACTTTATAGAGTTATATTTCTTTATAAATACATTAATAAACAGTTAAACTGCCGACATGAACATTTAACGGTTTATAACTATATTAGCTGTAAGCAGATATAAGTGTTACCTTTTCATTCATTTACATGAGTGGGGATTTGTTTGGTCTCTGTAAATAGTATTAGTATTATAATGGTTATAAAGAGTACAGGCTCGACCCGATGCTTATGAAACTACACATTTAAAGTCTTCAGGCTCACATGTTTGCGCTGCCCGACACTCAGCGGAAACATAAATGTGAGTAGATAACGTTTGCTTCCTGTAAAGACGTCCTCAAGTCACTGCTTGTTGGAAAGTTTTGTGTGCGTCACATGGCTTTAGTGTGAATGAGGCACCAGTTTGCTGATAGTGAAACATACACAAAGGTACGTACAGCACAGCCTGTCATGAGTTTGTTGTTTTAAGCCCGTTCCGCCTCTTTTGCTCTCACAGAATTCACTCCCTCAGATGTTATTTTGTTTTCATTCAACCTCGTGTGTCACTGATTAGTCATTCACATCATTCATATTAACCTGCATTTGAACTTCCACTGCATCCTGTTCTCTGGAGGTCCTCCATTGATCTGCTTCATAGAGCCTTTAACATCACGAATGGCTTTGAAGCGGTAGAATAAAGCTCACGCCGCAGCTTTCTGTAGTGATCGACCATATTCTTTATGTATTTATGCGGGACGACCTCATAGATCCTCTATCCCACAATTCTGTCCTCTGAAGCTGTTGATAACCTTTTATTTTTCTGCGGGTGTGTGTGTGTGTGTGTGTGTGTGCGCACAGAGTTTCGTACGCCGTCCCACCACGGCGAGTTGAACCGCACAGCGTCTCTGAGTGGCGCCGACCGGACAGACTCGCTCTCCGTCAGCGGCAGCAACAGCCAGCTCAACAGCAGCATCCCGGCGCAGCAGTACACGCCCGACTTCTACGTCCGAGCGCTCACTGACCTGCAGTTCGCCAAGGTTGGTTAGAAGTTTGAATCTTCTAGAATAGAAAGTTGTTCTGTTCTCTCACCGTCTTGTCTCGGCGTTGCTTTCCTCCTGCAACTGTCATGGTAAAGTCGGTACTTTACCAGGAACACTTCCTCTACCAGCATGTATAGTGTTCATCTCAACATGTGGTTTACCTTCTTAGTCTTTTAAATGCTGGTAACAAGTTATAAATCATCAAATCAGTGCGTACTGGCACAACAAGTTTATAGTATAGTATTTTTTAATGTTTCCTTCAGATCACGCGGTCCCAGTACCAGAACGGCCTGATGGCGTCCCGTCTGGACAGCACGCCCCAGTCCCCAGAGAGCGGCCACAACGTGCTCTGCCTGGATCAAACCACTCCGCCCGCCACCGCCAACACCACCATCACGGACCTGGGAGCCGACTCCACCCCGACGGAGAACGGGCCGGACGAGACGACGCTCCTCCTCCTCAACGAGCAGAACTTACCGCACACAGCCAACCACCACAGCCAGCTGGAAAACAGCATCTGACCGCCACCACCACCACCACCACCACCACCATACTCCACCGTTTGCACGCATGCACTACTACGCTCGAATGTATGCTGAGGAGGGGAGCGGTGTTTATGTGTGTGTGTGAGTAGGAATGCAGACACACTGACGTAAAGAGACAAGCCATGTGCATGCATATTGTGTAAATATGCAAAGGATTAAACACACATTTTATTGTGGGAACGTTTCCATCGTAAATACTCGCCACAAAAACCCAACACTCATCTATGGTAGTCCATCGGCAGAAGTGTGTGTGTGTGTGTGTGTGTGTGTGTGTGTGTGTGTGTGTGTGTG